TTTTTTTTTTTTGGTTCACTTCGATAAGCTCAGATAACTGAGACCATTTTAGATCTTAGCTTCCACTTTGCAAAACAAACTTGTCATCAGAACAGATGGAAAGAGTTGCTGGAGCTTTTTAAAAAAACCAAAACCTAATTACTAATTAATAATGACAAACAATTATATTCTAACACACACACACACACACACACACACACACACACACTGATTTTGTTAGAGTGTGCCCTAGAAGGTGCACAATCCTTATTAATCAACTGATAGAATATTAGCTGGTCATCTGGTCTGCTGATAGAATATTCAGGCCCATCACTGTAAGTACCCAGTAGTACTTTTAGGGCCCTCTTGGAGCCACTTCCGGACTCTTACTTCTTAAGGAAAAGCCGTTACTGATTTTTATGTTGGTTTTTATTTTGTCATTCACTATGCTTATCCTCATCCTCTCATATCTTGTGGTTTATAGCCTTGCTAAGAAATTTTTTTTTTTATTTAAGAAAGAAATTTTGTAAATTTTCAGGGGTGATAATGTTATGCAGCTGTTAGAAAAACAAAGACCAAATGTTACTTCTGACTAAATCACTATTGTATTTTCCAACAAACAGTACATTATGTTCACCCATATCAAAGCAGCTTCATAATATTTGCAGGCTCCAGTAAAGGAAGGCATTCTTTGTTTGAAAACTCCAAATGCAAGGCTTCATTATTATAAAAGGATTATTTTCTGTCCTTGACCCTGAATTAAATTTACATTTTAGAAATTAAAACAAAAAGGTTCATCTGTTGATTGGACCTCCTTTTGTACAACTGGAAAATCAGTAATTATATCCAGTCTTTCTAGGAAACTGTGAAACAAAAGCATAAGAAATTAGGACAAAATAAAATAACAATGGCATTTATTTGGACTCTTCCCCCATTAGAAAAATGTGTTTGACATGAATTAAATTTGAATTTGATTATAAGCGCTTGGATTTTCACAGCACATTTTACACATATGACTGAGTCAGTCAGAAAGAAAATAGGTAGATACTAATGAGAAGTTCTAGAATGATCTGACTCAGGTACACTTTGTCAAATTTAACAGTCCAGGAAGCCACTCATCATTCCAAAGGGAAGATTGAATGAGAGAGGGAAGAGAAGCAGAGGTGTCATTTCTAATTAAAACAAAATGAACCAATGAGTAAAAAACCCTGTCCTCACACAGACGGTTATCCCAGTTTTCAAAGGAAGAAACTGAGGCAAGAAATAAGCTGTTCATTATCTCGCAGCCAGACTCCCCAAGATGAGGCCTTGAGTCCACTTCTGAACAGCCATCCTCCAGTGCAGGCCTCCAAGACACACGGGGCAGTCTCCTTAATTCTTTATTCTCTGTTTAACACTCTATTTAACTGAGGCTTCCTCAGAGTGAGAACTAGAGGCTGATTTGAAAAATTTTTTTTTTTCAGTTAATGAAACCCATGCATTGGGAAGGACTAGAGAGCTTTCACCTGTTCCAGACAAAATTAAATCAGAGTCATTTCCCACCATTTACTAGTAGAGGGCCCATGGTCATTGACTTGTCTGATTTCATCTGTCTCCCATTTCTACATTTAAGAGAGGTCCGCTAATGGGTCTGTCTTGTGGTTTCAGTACATCACATCGAGTGCCCCTTGGCTGTGACAAGGCGGGGATACATCAAGCAGTTCTTCTGCCAGTGCAGTTCCTCTTTGTGGAACATCGGAATCACCCTCTTCATACAAGATGGCCCGTTCCTTGTGGTGAGGCTCATACTGATCACCTATTTTAAAGTGATCAATCAAATGCTGGTGTTCTTCGCAGTGAAGAATTTCCTCGTGGTGGTGTTGCACCTCTACCGCCTGGTGGTGTTGGTCTTGGGATTCCATGCTTCCCTGAGGCACCCATCAGAGGGCCCCAAGGCAGAGCACAGATACCAGGCTCAACCCTCTGAGTCAAAGGAGGGCCTGTCCATTCCTTTGCGGGCCTCCCCAGTCACCTCGGAGGACTCCCATCTGACACCATAGTGATTTCTTCTCTGCAGCAAGCAGCTACAGATTTTGACTTTTGTTTTCTTCTTACAGACGTGTACACCTTCTTCTTTTCCCCCAGTCTTTGCATATGGTAATTTTCAAAGAAACAACATGAATATAGTTAAGTGATCTTAAGTCAAAGCAGAAGAATTTTCTCTCTTTTTTTTTTTTGATGGAATGGAAGGAGCATTTGATTAGTGGCTATGGCTACAACCTCCTTGTGATGGTATCTGATGTGATAGTTGTTCAATAGCTAAGTGATTTGTTTGTGTTGAACTGTTTCAAAAGCTATGGACAGGGTTGCCGTGACATGCCCTGGAAAGATTTAGTGCAGACAAACTGTCGCAGCTGTTACCTGAAAATATAGAAGCTTTGAACTTTGGCTGCATTGTCAGACTATCTCGTCTAATCTTTTCTGCAATGTCCCTCTGACATCAAAAAATGTACATTCAGTGAATGCAGAACAAATGAGGGAAAAGTGCCTTTAAAATTACCTCATTGTGAGCTGGAAGCAGAGAAAATCTCTGCCCAGCTTCCATATCATACAGAGCCGTATTCATCGCTACACAGGCCTTCCCACGAAAATCATTTTTCTGGGCTGATGTGGTATTCTGTCATGGCACATATGGTCTTACAGAAATTTTATTGCTTTTGGCTTGGGTACTACAAAATTCACAGCAAGCCATTTCGGTTACGTATCTACTGGTTGCAAAGCAGGAAATACCGGTAAAATGCTAGAATAGTCACAATTTCCACTCTGAATACGATTTGCAGTATTCATCAGTGTTTTTCTGAAGCCACTTTACCGTTTTCTGTATTGCCAAGTCGCATCATGTGAGCTGAACCAGGACAGCTCAGGAGCCATGAATAAAGGTGTTTTGGGTCCTTAAGTGTTACCATGGTTTCTGGTGTCTGTCAGCAGCAGCAAACATAGCTGCAGCTCCTTGAATGGCCACCACTGAAACTGACTTGGGCTTTGGTCTCCAGAATGTGAGGATGGAGGGTTACATCAGCCCCATCCACTGCCCTTGATGGATGCTGGTGTCAGTAGCAACTTACCATCGCATCCTGGGAATCAGGAAATGCGGTTCATTTGCTCACACTGGGACTTCGTTTTTCCACTATTGAAATAGCCATTCTTTCCCTTTATACATCTCTGGACTCTGTATGATCCTTTTAAAGTGATTGTTGTATTTAAAGATAGAGTGTAAAAATTTACTTGCTCATATAGCAATAATTATTTGAGGCAAACAATTCCAAAACGGTTCTTTGAGGGTTCAAAGAATAAGTCTTCCTATATTAGTATGCTCAGAAATTCAAAGGGACATTTAAGGCAGGGTATGCCCTTGATTGGGTGCAGCCTGTTGACAACTGTTTGGGACAATTTTATATACAAATCTAAGTGTGACATGATATCCATTTAAATAATTAGATAAAAAAGTTTTAGAGACATATACTGGTTTTATGCAGAGCAATGTATATTTTCCAATAAATTCTATTTCTTTTCTTCCTTGTGCTTCCATTTTTAACATGATTATAAAATTACAGATGAATTGAACAGAATACATTTATAATTTTGCACAATAATTTTATACAAGATCAGGAAATTATATTTATATGAAATACAGAACTTGACAACTTTTAAGGGCATGTTATTTAAATTGCTTAGCAATGGAAAGCAAAATAATAACTGCTATTTATAAAAATGCCTCAGCAGAATCTGTTTTTGTGTTGACTATTTTATGTTGAATACTTTCTTCCACAACATGTATGTGCTGCTTATTATTGCAGATTTGCCCATGGCATACTTTTCATGTTTTAATTTTTTTTTATTCCAGCAAAACAAACATTGAGCCTCTAAAAATAGATAAAGTATAAAGTAGTACGGCTGTTGCAAAGATATTTTTAAGTGCTTTCAAATCTGAGACTTGGCTTGGTTTCTGAATGAGTTTCTAGTGTTTAAATAAAGTATTTTGTAATTAGCACTCCTCCAAAGCCCTGGGAAAGAAAAAGCCTGTCCAAAAATCTGGTTTTATTTAGAGTGCCAGGAAGTCAAAGAGCACCAGGACCATCTAGGCAATTAATGGTGGCAAAAATAGACACATGTTTTGCAAGTTTTCCCAGGAAAATCTGCTCAGGGCAGCATTTGTTAACCTAATTGCCAGTACTCCCACTCCTATAGACTGGCTGCTTTTACAGTGGGGAAAATAAATCTATATTTGTTTAGTTAATTTGAAAAGATCCCTAAGCCCAGGTTGTATCACCGATGAAAAGTTAAAAAATTATTAATTTGATTATATATTTTTATTATAAACTGCTAAACCTTGTAATGGTTGAAGACTATCAAGTGTTTGCTATACAATGGCTAGATGTCAGTTTATCTCCTATATGTTGACACCCTGGGACTTGTTTCCAGTTTATTTCTAATAAGATAATATCTCACATCATCTATATAGTGTGATACAAGCCATGTCAACTCCCAACCCTAGATACAGCACATTCCAATTCCCAACCACTGAAGAAAAGGGGTTATTTGTTGTTGTGGCTGTTGTTGCCATTGTTGTTATTTAACTGTTTGATTTAAACTCAATCCCACATCCTTTCTACAAATACCATTTGTGAGAAAACCACATTGTATCTGTTTTAATAATACTGTGCAGAAACACCTCCTTACCATCTCTTGTGTTTTCTTTACCCTTTTGGAATGAATCTCAGATGACATGATGGCATGGTAATATTAGTAAACTATTTTTCCTTTGATTATTCTGTTAATTTTTATGTAAGTTGTGATAACAAAATAAAAACCTTGAATTGGTCAAAAACATCTTTTCTAATCTTCCAGTGAAGAGACTTAGATAAATTTCCCCTTTGGTTCTGTTCTTCCACTCGACCTTATATAGCCATAAAGATACAGCCAAGAAATATCAGAATTCACCATTGTAAAATTAGATATTAACTTGTTATTTGAAAGAAAAATTTCAGAGCTCTGGGGCAGCAAGAACTGGAGATACACATGCTCTAGGATTTCTACCAGCTTTCAGAGTTGAATGTTGATGCTCATCATCTTTGACATTTAATATTGATAACTCTTATCCAGTTCTCCTGTTACAAGAGAGAAAGAACTGCAAGATCCAGGCTCTGTCTCCCTTCCATCTTCTCCAAGGAAGTCTAGTTAAAGATTCTGCAGAGCCTTAGAGATGCAAAAGTAAAATCAGTCTTGAATTATGAGACAGAGACAATGTGTGTGTGTGCGTGTGTATACATATACATATATAGTGTGTGTGTGTGTATATATATGTATATACATATATATATATATATATATACATTTTTTTTCTAATTCCACACTGCTTTTTACTAAGAGAAATTCTAATTTGCTCTCAGAAATATCTGATTAGAGTTAAACCAGGCAGCTGGAGGATTTTTTACAGCTTTGAAGCTCAAATAACTTTGTATATGATGGGAATAACTAAACAATGTTTGAAAAATTAACTGCTACAGCCTTATAGTTTATGGGTGTCCATCTTCAGAATCTTTCTTACCGGAATACTGTATATTTTCTTTCAGTATTTATATTTATACTATTTTTGGGCGTTGTATGATTGAACTTTGTATTTTGTGATAGACATTAAATAGTGTGTGCACAATTTATCTCAATATCTATTTTTTGCCTACTTTTCATGTCTTTGTTCTCTACTGTAATTCATTTCCTTTATGGTTTTTAAGCTCTGGCTTAAAAAATAACTGATATATTTAGAATATGATTAAAGTGGCATTTCAAACCAGTGAGGAAAGAATGACCAATTTTATAAATGATGTTGGGAAATTTTGCAATCCATCTGGAAAAAATAAAGTTAGATTTTTATCTCATGTAATATATAGAGATAAATTCCAGATGGATTAAAGATTTTGATGGAAAATGAAAACAATAAATATTAGAAGAAAATATGCAATGTGTCTTCAATGGGAAAGGTCTTCTGAAGCAAGACATGAAACTCGTAAGCTACAAAAGAATAGACTGGCAGATTTTTCCACATAATTCTTTAAAATTTATGAGTAGCAAAAGGTATATATATCACTACTATTTTCTTTACTGGAGAAAAAAATCCGTACAATCAGATGAGAAATGAGGACATAAATTGAAAATAAGTAGTCAAATTTATAATTTTTATTCATATAAGGTTGAACATCTAAAAAAGTATATTAAACCTAAGTAACTATTTAATAGTTAACCTGACATCACTCAAAATTCAATTGCTTTTCTAGATAAAAAACATAACATGGAATATATATTTGGAGAAGAGATTTCCTTTAATTATATGAAATAAAACTAAAAAATACATAGGAATAAATTTAATCAATATATAAGATCTATATAAAAATACTTTAAAATGGTTTTGAGGGTCATGAATAACTAAACAAATATATACATTCTATTAGAGAGTAGTAGTAAGAAGCCATGACATTTTAAGAAGCATCAATTTTCATCAAGTTGATCTGTAAATTTAACACAATCCCCATAATTTCATCAATAAGATCCTAATTTTCAGTAATTACACAAGCTGATTCTAAAAGTGATAAAATAGCATGAAATAATAACTGGAAAATAGTAAAAGATAAAAAAAGAGAGCTTTCAATATACTTAAATATATTATACAGCTATAGTAACCAAGAGAATTTGGTTCTGGCACATGAATACATGGGCAAAAAAAGTCATCAGAATAAAGTTCATAAATAAACTAAATTACATAAAGAATTCTGATATATGGTAAATCACATGACAGGAGTTGAATATTATAAATGATTTAGGCTTTGGAAAAGAGCAAATTGGATATCTACTTCGATCTTTATGTCCAAAACATTTCCATATGTATCAAATACTTAAACACTCAAAATTTTAAAAAGAACTTTGCTTTTATAATTACAATGATGCTTTTTAAATCAATTGTAAATCATGAAGGTATTGAAGACGTATAAATTTCTGCTCACTGAAAATTTTAGCTTAATAGAAATACCATAAGTGAAATAAAAAGCTGAACAACAAAATGTGTAAATATATTTGCCACAAATATTCCTAAACATTAGTTTTCTTAATGAACCAATAGTTCTTATAAGAAAAAAAGTAAAAATTTATTGGAAAATTAAGAACAAAAGTATATGATTTACTACAAAAGGAACAAAGCAATTCAAATCAAATCACAATGAAATACCATTTTTCAAATGCAACTAGAATACAAGGCAACCGTTTTTCATTTTTTGGATTGTCAAAGATCCACAAATGTTTTCAGAATGCTGTATAAGGGGGGACTCAAGGGAAGCAAGTATTTCTAGACAAGACTGGTCAGGGTTTTATAACCTCAATGTCTCTGGGTGAGTACAACCTCACAAAAGAAAGGTTGGTATAATTTCTTTAGAAGACAACTTGGCAATATCATTCAAAGGTAAAAATACATTTATCATCTGACATAGCAACTCAGCAAGAATTCTAAAATTATACAAGCACAAGTATGTTTGCATAGGGCTACATGCCAAGTATATTTGCATAGGGTTATTCAGTATTTTCCATAGAAGCAGAATATGGGGTTCATCAATGTGTCATGGTTTTATAATGGAACCTCTGAACTATATAAAATATCACATAGAATTTTTTTTAAATGAAGTAGATTCATAAGTGCTGATAGAAAACAACTGTTTAAGTATTTTGTTAGATAAAAGTAAGGATGGAAAACAAGTAAGTATGTTGCTCTTTTTTGAAAATATTATCTATACATTTATAAGTGGCTAATAAAAATATGAAATGATGCTTAAGTTTCTAGTGATTATGACATTTCTGCCTCTCCTTGTTTTCACTTTCACTTTTATGCTTTTTTATAGCTTTTTAAAATTTTTTATAATTTAAAAGCAATTATAAATAAAATAAACCTCAACAATTTATGATCTTTATGTGAATCTGTAGCAATATACAGATGCTTTGAAATCAATTTGCAAATAAAGTAAAAACATATCATCTATTTTTTTACCAGGAAAATGGAGACTTTGCCATTATAACTACGGATGATCTTTTAAAACATTGGTATTTCAGGGGTTTAAGCCATGTCCAACTTTGCTTGACTTAATAAGTGTCAAGTATTTGGGAAATGAGATCATTAGTAGATTTGTAAGAACATAGAAAAATCAAATTGATCAAAAAGAGTTGTTGGGTCTTTCTTTATGAGTACCATGGAGACAATTTTGCAACCATCACTCTGAACCTTCTTCATTCACTGACATTTATGGAGCCAAAAAAACAAACCAGAGAGGAATTTAACTCTGAATTACATAGTCAAATTCATTTCCCCAGGAGAGACTGAGAAGCAAAAAGAGCCCTAAAAGAAAAACAAAACTTCAGAAAGAATCTATGCATCCATTCCCATTTCCAAATAGGAATGGATGCATAGATTTCAAAACCCATCTGATATATGTATATAAACATTTTAATTGTGTCAAATATTTACTAAATGTGCAATTGATTGTGATAACTGATCAAATGGGTCATATGCAAATCTGATCAAATTATTGAAGAAAAAAAATTCTAAACCAACCATATGTCAGATACCACATAGTCTTTGTATCCAAACTAAGAATTTTGGCCAAGGAAAATTGGATCTACAAGACAAAATATGTTTTCTCTGTGGATGCTGGTGTTCAGCTTCTGCCAAATGCATAGCTGGAGAATTCAGATGGTTGTGATTCTGGAATCTTGGGGTTTGTTTCTACCTTCTGGCAAAAAATGTTCTTCTCTATTATTCAAGGTTCCCACATGACCTAAGTGACAGCTAACAGCTGGGTCAAAGCTATAATTATTTCATCAGCTGTCATGGTTTCAACTAATTCTTATAACTAGTGGTTTTTATTGATATCTCTACCATCCCCCAGCCTCTTCTTTGGACTCCATGCCTGGTTTAGTGTCTCCTCCTAGTTACTTTGCAATTATTATAGACCCAATACATGTATTCCACATGCAGAAAGTTGCACAAGCACCCAGGCCGCTATGCCTGTGACCCTTGCCTTTTCTTTCTCACACTTCCTTCCTGAGTAATCCCCACATTCTGTCAGTTCCGTTGCTTATGCTTCTTTTCAATCTTTATCCCATCATCTCTTTTCCAGGTGCTACTCTCCTAATTTGCAATCCTTTCTTGCCTGAGGAATTGCAATCCTTTTCCAATTGGTTTTTCAATCTCCTAGATAAAACCTGGATAATAATTTTTCTAATGTCATTTAGAACTGGCTATTTTAAAGCACACATCTGATCATGTATCTCTTCTATTTGAAACATTCTGACGATGTCTTATGGCCAAAAAGATTAAACCTAAAGTTCCAAGATAATCATGTACGACCTTTCATAAACTGGCCATCATCTCCCTCTCCAAAGTCATTTTCCACCACTGCAATCCCTGTCGTCCCATCCATACACACACACACACACACACACACACACACACACACACAGGACAGCCACCCTAAGAAACAATTCATGTTCCCCTAAATCTACAATTATTCTTTACATAACCACATGTCCACAAGTCCTTTTTTTTTCAGCAATATTCATATTGCCACCATTTCATTACTCATCTCTTTTCTGCTCACCTCTACCCTCTCATGGGTGGCCAAATTCCCCCTTCTAGATTTGGTGGATAAAGAGAAAGAATAATCCCAGTGGTCAAAATTGTTCTGCACCCCAAGGGAACTCAAAGATTTGAGTGAATGTAGGCAACTTTTAGTCCTGAGAGCAGAGATATCCTTCCATCCTGGAGACCTGGTTTCTAGGATTTCCTTTGAAGCAACAATGCTAAGGAAGACAATGTGGATGTAGAGCTATGGGATTTACTATTTATCATATGGGATCATAGACCCCAACTAGAGTCTGTAGGAGAGGCAACAGGTTAATGGTCCCTGAAAGTTCCCTCTTTATCTCAATTAGACTATTCTAATACCTTCTTTTTGTACTGCTTGAATGATGCCTTTCCCTGCTCCTTATAAGATTGGCTCTTCTTATAGGATCTTCCAATCAGTGTTCACCATCTTCTTGGGAAAAAAAAAATTCACAAAAACTTTAGAAGGTTCATCTCAGATATCACATCTCCTTATTTGAAGAGCTTAGTGGGTCTTCCATTTTACTGTGCATTTTACTCTGTTCTGGTCTCTATCCCAGTGCTTATTATAATGTATTGTAATGGTTAATTTGTATGTCCATTATACTCCTAGTTCACAGTCTGATTTCTGCCATCAGACTGTGAACTAGGAGTATAATCCATGTCATAT